ATGAGGGCTAGGACATATGGTACTTCAAAATGCAGGGGCTTCACCTCCGAAAAACTACATCCCCACCATGAGGTATTAAAAGAGAAAGGTTCCACCACAACATTACGGATGGTGGTTGATGCATCCAGGTTAACGGCCAAATCTAAAGTGGCCCCGATAAAATTGAAGAACTGACTGATGTTAAGTAAATTATGACAACGATGCTTATAACAAAATGTCGCCTTTCTGTAGGTACTTTCTCTGTCTGCGAAAGGATAGTCTGGTGTCTTACACTTATGGAAATTGGCAGTTCCATTGCTGGAAAATATCGTAACCTGCAGCTTCGTATGCCAACATTAATCAGTATCAACGCGCAACCAAATCTTTAGTCTAGCCAAGCAATCACAAATGTTAATAAAACACTTCCTTTTCAAGAGCTGTTACACTTAGTTAACCAACTAACAAGATTAATTTTTTTGTATGTTGGTTATTTCAGAAGCAGCAACTTCCCAATGTTCCGTATAAGACAATCCGAGTAAGATTAATGTTGCGTCCAAGCTTGAAATCGGAAAGTAAATCGAATTAAACTGAAATCCGATACGTTGTATTCCCGCATTGGTTCGTTTCGAAAACATTTTCGTTTACTTTGTTAATTGTGATGCCGCTTGTTTCGTCTGTTCGCCGCTTCGTCACGAAACGAGTATTGCATTACACATTAGGAGCCCCTACGCACAAGGCACTCTTTTTTACTTCTGAGTGGATTGAACTTATTATCTAATTATTTTATTCCCTGATTGAATGATTGGGGCTGGGACTCCAGACTTTCAAAGACTCGCTTTTTAGATTCTAATGAACCGTGCGAAATCGGGATGCTAAGTAGTGTTGCTTCAAATATGACATCAGAAACTGTCATCTGGAGCTTAACTAAAAAATCTTCTTTGGTCGCTTTCTGTAAATCCAAAAGATTTATTTGCTCTGTACCTATCCTTTGTTTGTAGCGTTCATAAACGCGTGTAATTTAAGGTATGCTGCCTAATCTGTTCCATTTCTTAATCGCAATATTGTTCGAAGTTTTAAATGAATCCACAAATGGATAGAAGACATTGACATTTCCTTCGTATATGCTAGCATTATCGATACCTTGTTCATGCTTCTTGTTCATCCATCGCTAACAAATTTTCATATTCTTTGTAATAGGTTTTACTGGACTTTGTAGGCAGCAACTTCTCTTCTGCTGGTGCAACAAACCATTAAATGGGGGCTCTATTATATTTTTCAATCAAATTCGCTTTATTTCTAAAGACGATGATTTTAATAAACAAACTTCAAGTGGCATTTCCATGGCAATAATGGAACTTCCAATAAGTCGCTCACTCAATCAAAAATATATATGAGTAGAAAGTCGATATGATTTTATTTTATTTCGCTTATTTTTAAATTAAATTGTATAATACAAAATACTATAAGAAACGTTGTGTATAGTTGGTCTTTAAAGCACGCACAACGAGTTTAAAGGTACGACGCGACACCTACTTCTTAATGTACGATTTTTAGTTTGGTTCTTATTTTGATGAAATTTGAAATCTATATTGATAGAACACATTTAAGAAGAGTCATTTTTATAAGGGCTTGCTATTAAGGTCGCTGCAAAAGTTACGCTATTAATTTTAAATTCAAAAATTAAGAAAGACAATAACATCTTTAAACGGACGTGGAAATAATACGCCCTACTTCTGGGAGTATAGGATGTTATGGTAGTGAAATCGTTGTGTTTGATCGAGACTACTCAGTCTCCGAAATTTAATAAAATTCAAATTTTATATTGGGGTAATAATTAAAATTGTGAGTTTCTTAGTGACCGTTTGCCATTACACATTTATTTATTTATTTATTTATTTATTTATTTATTATCTTCACACAAGTATAATACAGCTAACATCTCTTCAAAGGTAATGATGAAACTAGTCAAAGTAAAGTAAGGGCATGTGCTAAGTTTACAAGCAACAACGAACAACGGCGAACTAGCAATGAACCTTCTACAGATACAGCTTTGCGAAGGGGAAATATTCAATACAAAAAGATACTGTGCGTGACCTCTAGTGGAGGAATAAAAAACTACCAACGATATAACTATACTTGCACGAGAAATATACAAATGGCGTAAAAGGTATTGAGATGAATTAAAAGCTGAATTTAAAAAACAAAGTTACATATTGCTGTGTTAACTACATCCGTTAGGACGGGGTAATTTTGAAGAAGGACTTTTAGATTCGACTTGGGGTTTCTTTTATTAATTGATGTTCATTAGAACAATTGTTTAAGGCCGTGGAGCCTTTTTTCGAAAGAACACAGAATGTACGAGACAGCATTAAAGGTTATTTTTGATTACGTTCTGTTAAAGGCGAACGAACTTCTGAAAATGTGTAATTGCAAATTTGATTGTTGGCAGGTCGTTTTGATTTAGTACCTTTTTCCTTTAATTTATGTTTCGCACAAATATCGAAAAGCCAAATGAGCGAAAATAACTCACAAAACGATTAACGCGTTATGGGCGAAGTTAAATGACCAAATACCGAAATTAAATATTTTTCCCATAACGCGTTGTGGTTATTTTAGAAGAGACCACAATGCGAATTGGATGGTTTTAATCAACCGAAAATCCCAAAGGATTAACTACACAATTCTGGCATGAAAAATCTATTCGGATCACACAAAAGATTCGAATAAACACACAATTTCATCGAAAAATTTCTGAGAGAAAGGAATGCTTACAAAGCTTATTTGGACAAATTACCCAGCACTCAGGCGGTCGATACTACAAAGATTTGCGATAACAAGGTGCACTTAACTTCACATGCAAACCCTGACAGGTTCTGACCTTCACTTTTTTTTAACACAAAAACTTGATGACAAACAACATTAATCCGATGAATAAAATGACCAATTGTCGATGGCTGACGATACAAACTTTTAACTTTTAATAACAAGAGAAACCTTAACAGAAGACCTCACGGGGAACTAACTACATAATTCCTCAAGTTGGCAGATTTTTTCCATGAAACGGACAAACACAATTTCGCACACAATGTTGGTTAACTTGTTTCTGCACAAAATTATTATAATAATGACAAACTATGCCTTCAAATAACCAAATCGGTCGGACTGACCGAATAAAAATAGCGTAAAGAAACGTACGCGCTTTCCAGCCGTCGGGACCAGCCACGTTTTTTCGTTGATTCCAGTATTTAACGAAACACCACTTCCACTATAAAAAAATACCTTTCTCTAGGACATTCAAATAAATCCACCCATCATAATTACTTGATAACGCCAGCACGCGCCAAACGTTCTTACCCAGCCGAAATAATGAGCAATACTTCGAATCACCTATGATCTTGTTATCAACACCAGATGTGCATTTTCTTTAAAACTAATAAACTTTCACCTTGTACCAAAAGTTCTTATCGCAAACACTTAAATAAACTTCTTATAAAATTCGCATTAATATTATTTCCATACGTTCAGCTGCGCTGTAAGTCAATAAAAAAAGAAAGCAACCAAGATTGCTCAGGTTGAAGTTCTTGGCCAAATTGCCATAAATCCCTCAATGTCAACATTTAGTTTTTTTTTTGTTAATTATTAATTTTTTGTTAAATTGTCTTAATGAATATTCACTTTATTGGTACCACTGGAAAGCATTTTTCAGTAGCTTTCCAACGATGTGTCATCAGTATGGGGTTGCCATTTAGGATTTTTGAAGAGGGGCGCTGGGGAGTTAAGGGGGATGGGGGTTGTCACTCATAACGTCATTCTGGTTCCCCCTCGATATTCCCGAAACGATTTTGCGCGATTTTCTATATCTTCTTTACTTTGGAAAACATGGCCGACTGCAAGTTTTAAAATTGGCACCCTGATGTGTACGTAACATTTATAAAAGATACCAGTTATTTCCGAGAAAACGTGTTCATTTAATTGTTATTCAAATTGTATTTCCTTTGTAGAATTAATTTAATTTTTATCTAATAATTTGATGAGCCTACATATTGTTGCTATGGCTGATTATCGTTCAGATAGTTGAAGTATTTCCCACCAATTCCGTTTAGAACACTTGTGTAACTAGAAATATGTACCGTAATTATTTATTTAATCCCTAAATTTCGGCTTGGCATTATTTCGTTTCAGAAACACGCACCCACTTTCCGAATTTAAAGAGCACGCATAAATGAGGACTTATTCATTTAGCAGGGTTACAAGTGGAACATCTAGGGTTAAGTAAGGGTGTGGTATATAACAATTAGTGCAGATTGCTGGAAGGGAATTGCCGAGAACAAGCCGGAATATTACATAATGGATTTCGGACTAACCATACCATTTCGTATATGAGGACATTCGGGTATAATACTACTCAAAAACAATATATTTTCACATACATTCCACGATCTCCCGCAGTTTGTTATGCCAGGCACCCTCGAATGTAAATTGCCTCGATGCCATGTTTGAATCCAACATCGTATATCCACTTTAGTCCTTAATTAGGTTAGAGTTTCATTTTTCCCAATCTCGAATTCCGAATATTGCTACATTTAAATTAGCGGAAACATTTTTAATCACGCATGCCAGCGCCGTCCACTCTCAAAAGGGCGCACCTAATAAAGTTGCAGCTGGCTCGCCTCTCAAGTTTATATCGCAATATAAATTAATTAATCAAGTTCGGTTGAGAGACTGCACGAGAGAAAATAGTCCCGACGTTCCAATAAAATTTGATATATTTTTCAGTTATACGTTCACTTTGACATCTTGTATGTGCTGGGAATTAATGGGGCAGTTAGCATTTGAGAGTTGACTAAATAGCGAGCTGGTCTCCTTGGGGAAAGAATTTTATTTATCATCAACCCTGTCGGCTAGCTCACATTGCCCAAATTCCTTACATAGTTTACTAAAACGTTTCCCCAAGCACCTTACTAAAGAAAATTAAACCTACCCTTTGCTTGGATTTTTACGTAATACAAAATTACACTTACCCCGTCGGTGCACTCAGTAGGATTGAATTCAAATAAAACGGATCTGTAACAAAGGCACACTTTTAAAATGGCATTTCAGAAATAATATACCTAAACCACAAGAAGTTAAGCAGTATAGTTCAGTAGATTAGAAAAAGTGTTAAAAAGAAAATCAATCGAGTGGCTAACTCGGTTGTAGATAATTGGAAAATTAACCTTTCTGAACCATTAAAACATGTTCAATTCAAGCAGGTTGTCTTTCGACAACTTAATTCGAAGTGTTTCAACTTTGTAACACATGCTTTGTGTTCCAAGAAGTGATTACCGATTAAATAATTAAGAATCTACTTTTATTGGTCCTCTATTCCGCTGGTTTTGCTTTTACTACCTTACTTATAGATGTATACCTATTAGGAAGACCAAGTTCGGAACAAGTGGCCCGTTTACAGTGTAATTGGAATTTTGAGCTCTTCGTCATTTGCGTCATTCTTTAGAAAAGTTTGACCATTGAAAGCATATTGATCTTTGGGCGTCTCTCTCCGGTCCTGGATCACTATGTGATAAAATTGATCACTTAAAACGTGTCTGAAACGTTACCCACGGAGTCGTAAAATTACACTTGAATCATTAATAATTTATTAAAACGACTTATTTATCACAATATGGCGTGTTATTTTACTTCCCTGTTTAGTTTAAAAATGAGTTTTCAAGGGTTGTTAATACTTGAATGCAAAACGTTGTATGACATTCAATCGTCTAATACCAACTAATTAGTTACTTTAACTTAAATTGCACGTTAAATGTTGACGTGACGATCATCCAGTAGTTTATCTTCACAATTTTAATTGCGATGCATATAACAGAAAATATTCTTAAGTTTATCCTCTGAATTATTCTTCGATTTTTGTATTAGTTGCTCTTCAGTTGTCACTGAATTATTTCCTTTTATATTCATACTCCTATCTCCATTTTCCGTTTTTTCCTTTATGTTCGTTCCACCACCTTCAAAATTGCTCTCCCTCTTGATCGCTATTGCTGATAATCAAATCTTTGGAAATAGTACAGTTCGTTTTCAATCTTTGAAGGGTTATCACTTGATTACTTTTTTTAGTCCCTGAAGGTATTTTCCATTGATACACTATTTTTTAACGTTTTTTCTTTCTGGACCTGCAGATTAAACCATTTTTGTTTGTGTAAAAAAATCATTAATTTTTCACCGAACCCACCCGAAAAGAATAATTTATTCATGATCAAAAACTAAGAGTAAATTCAGATGAACATGAGAAAAACCATCCATTTTTTGAAAACTAGAGACCCGATGTTTGTGGGCATTTCATAAGATATCTACTTCTCAAAGTCACCACCAGAGGGTGAGCGACCTTGAGCTGGCCCAGAACCGACCCTATATAACTTTAGTGTCTAATTACGCGGTAGAACGTAAATACAAATTAAATAAATGAGGAACTTTTAAAATGTTATATTAGATAGAGACAGACAGACAATTACAAAAAAAATTGAGGCGAACTTGCAAAATTGAGAAGATTACTATCACAATACAGGAAGTTGGGAAGAATTTTATAGGAGCATGAGATGAACATGACTTAAGACGAATTTATAAATGGAAAATGGTTTTCGCCTTAAGGCGAGCAACTTTACCGCATTTTCCATAAATTGATCAGTACTTCCCACAAGGTCATGTAACGACTACAAAGGAAAATAAGTTATGGTATAAATATTCTTATAAATAAGAAACTTAGCATTGCGCAGTCTGAGCATGCGCACTAAAATGTTGAAAATATGCAATATGCTGGCCTTTACTACAAGAATATTTGGTTAAAATTTCAAATACCTCTATAAATAAGTAAGCTGACGTTGCTCAGTTTACGTATGCTCACACTTCTTCTCGCTTGAGGTGCCAGAGCTATAGGTTACCGAATGCAAAAAGAACGAACTACCTAACTATCTTGAAAACTGTAGGAGTAGTTAAGGCCTCGGGTGCACGGACAGAGAAAGTGGCCAATATAGGGCAACATGAAAAATAAAATTAAGAGGGGTGTAACAGCACAGACATTTCTGCTGGTTCATTTTGTCATACTGTGTATAAATATTTGTTAGTAAATTAAGTTGGGAACATACTGTACTGAGAAGAGAGCGATGGCCGCTTAAGAAAAGTCAAGGCGGTTGTAGTAAAACTGAATTAAACATTTTTGTCCTAGAGAATATCTTTAGCGTGAAGATTTTTACGTAGGGAGGCAGTGAAAGTGCTCTACATTTTGTAGTATAAAATTCGTTACCTTTACACGCGAATAACTGATAATAAATATTGTGCAATAGTGACGCAATCATATGCGAGTTCAACGCCATCCAGAGCGAGAAAACTTTCCACGTGAACGAAGTTTGTAATTCCCTGTTGGGAAACCAGTTTCACCTTTTGCCAGCGATTTGTTTTTACCGTTTTGGGCCAGCGATTTGTTTTTACCGTTTTGGGCCAGCGATTTGTTTATTTGCCGGCGTTTGTTTTCACCTGAAGAAGGAAGAGGAGGAATCGATATTCGAACCAATCTATTTGGAGGTCACCGACATCGACGAAATTCAAGGAGCCTGAGCCGCACTAGGAGTCAACCCAGGCAGGCGACGACGAGCTTACATTGAGGGCGACGTAAAAAGAGATAAGTACTTAACAATTTTTATTTGTTTGTTGTCGCGAGTTCGACATTCATTTCGGGTGAATAAAAGAAACAAAAAACCTTTTCCGCGTTTCTGATGTTTAAACTAAATAGGTCTCATTTGTATTAAGAGTATTGGATTGTTTAGCTTAAGTGAGGTAGAAATAATATTTAGTTGTTTTGTTTAGGGAAGCAATAAGTTAGAACTAGAAATTGATTTAAAAAGCATTGAAGAAAATTATACCAGCATTGTCATTTTGCATTATATTTTGTTTTCTCTATCGAAGCAGTGAATTGTAAAACACCCAGAAGTCCTGTAGAAAAAGAGCATCTCAACCCTGAGTTAAATATTAGTCGAGGCATATTAAGCATATAAAGCAGACCCAAGGTAAGTGCTGTTATTGACCACTTTTCTTTGTTTATTGAGAATCCATCTTAAAATAATTGTAACAGTTGTTACAGGGGTATGGGGAAGGTTTTGTGTTCACTTCCTAATAATTATCATACAACCACATTTCGAGTTCAACAGAGATTGGACACCAAAATTAAACTAAGACAAATTTGAATGCAACTTGAGAGTAGCTCTAGAGGATATTGGGAATAGTTATTTGAGGAGAACTACAGAAAACTTTTGAGATATTGAGCAGAATTTGAGCTTGAACTTTTCGTTGAAATATGTCTTTTAAACATTTGTTACACTTTATATTTCAAAACGAGAGTGAGAAGAACAATAAAATTTAGAGAAACTTAATATGAACTTGGCTAAGGTTTCAATGGTTCAACTGTATTACCCTAAAAGCGATCGATCCAGTTTTTAATTTTTCCGGGAGGGAGCCTTTTCAACGGAATACCTTTGTAACCTAAAGAAAAACACCGTTTCCAACGCTACCTGTAAGTTACTTTTTTTTAATTGTGTAAAGTATTGGTCGGTTATCTTTAAGAATCCATGGATCCATTCAAAGGAATTTTTCATTACGTAGGACTTTAATATTTCATTTAAGTGATAATACTCCTTTGCATGAATTCAATATTTGTTTAGGTATAAGGGGTGTATAATTATTTTGTTTAAAAGATTGTGCGTAAAAAATTGGATAAGGGAAATTACGACAAAACGTGGCCACGATATAGGGGTTGTATTTTCTGTATTTATAAGAAACGAATCAATATTTTAAATCAGAAAAAAAATGTTCAATTTATTATTTATTAGTCTGCAGGAAAACCAGAGCTTCAAGTTTTGATTTTCAGATTTAAAAAAAGGAGATAAATGGCCTAACTTCCGCAAGGTAAGGGGTATTTAAATTTTGTTAGAAAGCTAGCCGTGGGTAAAATTAATTGTGATTTTGCGCCGTAGAGAATCTATTTTATTTAGTAGTTTTCCACCCTTATAATGCAACTAACCGTTACAGCGTGAGAGAGTTGCAGGGGGATATGTGCGCCAGAAAGATCTCTCAGAAACTTGAAGAAAGGAGAAACTTTAGAAGATTTTTGGATTAACTTAAGAACTTCAGAACTATTTATTTGAGAACTTAGATAAACCAAACTTGCTTGAAAACAATCATGGCAATTAAACTTAAGTATGGGGTTATTTGACAACTGAATTACAAAATTCAAAAAAATGGCAACTCAATCTTTTCTTAGCTTCCTCATTTCCTCCGTCCACCAATATACTGGTTTCCTAGTCGACTGTTGGCTTTTCCTGCTCAAGCTTTTACAGCATGTTGTTTTGATGGTGTCGATTAATGTGTTAGAGGTCCAACTTACGTTTCCTAGGCTTCCAGCCACTCCAGACCTATTTTCGTCACTTTCTAGCCCACTTTCCAGGCTCATATTTTGTATGTCTATATCTTATATCACAACACTTACAGCTCACTCTTCTTCTTTTCTAGCCTTAGTGCTTCCTTAAAGTGGAGGCACTTTCCTGCTCCGGTTTCGTGTCCTTTCTCTACGCACAACACACAATACGGTTCCTCCTCACATTCAGTAGGTATGCTGTGAGCTCTATGTACGCATCGACATACCTTTGTTCTGCCTGTTTTCTTACAGTCTTTTGCCCAGTGTCCGAAGGCCCAGCATCTATACCATTTTTTTGTCTAATGTTGACCTACCGATATGTGACACTATGGGCCAAAAATAACTGGAATGCGTAATTACTAGGTACTGTACCTGCCGCAAAAATTTGGTTCAGATAAAAACGCGTACTTGTCAGAGGCACTGCCAAGGACAGACTGCAATATAACTGTAAGTGCGGTTTTTAGTATATCCCAAACGCAAGTTCAAGTAAAAACCTTCTCGTGAATACGGCCACTTATTCTTTTGTTCTCCTTTACGACTTGAAAAACCAAAATTCGTACAAAGACCCTTTAGGTTAAGATCATGCATGATCTATAAGCATAAGTCA